TCACCTGTAGCAATCCGGAGCTGCACCCCAAACACTCCCTGTGACAGAACAGCAGAGGGTAGATAGGGGCTCTTTACCAGGTAGCCTGAGCTGGCTAGTTTCCCCTCAGCATAGCGACACTCCACCAGCAGTCTGCAGAGTAAATGTGTAGAGGAGGGGGGGGGATCAGTATAAAATGGTCATTTCAGCAATTATGACCATTGTTTGAAGCAATGGGGTAGAAAATCCCAAGCAGTTTATATCTGCAGTCTGCACTCAATAGCACTGGTACAACTGCAATATCATTCTGAACTCCAAATAATTCTACTCACCTGAATGGGCTGTCCCTGGTAACAGCCCCATAGCTCAGTATGCTGCGTCTGGCCAGACTCTCCACCTCTGCTAGGTAAATGGTGGTCTCTCCTACCACCTGGGTAAAGGAGTGAGGAAGCTAGGTTGTTTCTATGGCTTCAGTGGTTATGAAGCAAGTAGGCAGGATTTGTCATACCACACGATTCATTGCTTCCAACAGAAAGGGAGGGGGTGATCAAGTCTTGCATGCCATTAAAAGAACCTAAAAATGGTCCCCCCACACCAGTACTCACAAAAGCATGGGTCCTACAGCCAGTGATGGGGAATTTGAAGATGGCAAATTCTGGGGTACAAATGACAGGGGTGCAGGATGCATTGCCAGCAATCACCAGGCTGGCAGGATCCACAGGGGGTACAGAGATGGTCCGAGGGACAGCAAAGACAAAGTGCCCATCGGCAGTACACTCTGGGGAGGGAATGTCACTTCAGTACAAGCCGGAAGTTCCCTAGATGTGCTGGACTGGCATAGTAAGTAGACCTACCCTCCAGTGGATAGTAGCAGGAAGATGTTTCAGGATCCACACAGCATCCCTTTGCTAGGCACTGGGATGGGTAGATCCTCTCTGGACCACAGGAGACATGCTGACTTCTGGGAATCTTGCAGCCTAGTGAGATCAAGTTAGATAAATCAACTTGACCATAAATGTTGTTTCAGCAGAACAGAAAGACATTTCACTCACCCTCCTTTGGTCTGTAGGGGCGATAGGGACAGGACACCACTATCTCTCCTCTTAGGCCATGAAAGGGGACATACACCACCTTGACGGTGTAGTGCTGGTCCTGTATAAAGAGAATATTTAAGTCCATGTTAGCATCCAACAAAACATAATTGGAAGGGGAATCTTCATGCAAAAACAACCACTGGTGCCAGAGCTGCAGAAGCTAGACCAGCATCTTGACACCTTAACATAGCAAATGCATCTAGACATTTACACACTCACCTTGAACACCAGAGTAACAGCCTTCTTTCATTATTCTCTGAAAAAGCTGAACACTGGAGCTTACCAAAAGCCTGACATGGCAGGCAGAGTTGGAAATGGTCAGGGTGTTCAGGTGCTGCCCTTCAACCACAGAGTATCCACAAGATGTAGCCTCCAGCACAGACACCAGGCTGCCCAAGGCTCCTGAAGAAGGAATAGCAGTAAGCATTTGATACTGCTGTAAAGTATGAAGGACATCCTTCTTCTGGGACAAAAGCCTTATACATTCCAGTGTTGCAATGCCAAGGACACATTATCTTGCTAAGGCAGCATTCCTTACCCTCCACCTTGATCTCCTCCAGTGGGCCAGCAGGCAGGGTCACAGTCATGCACACCTCACTGCAGGAGATGGTCAGGCCTCTGGGAGGTGGGGGTGGAGGGGCAACTGGAACATGGCAGGACACAGTGCCAATCACCCATCTCTTCCGCTCCTTGTCATAGTATCTCACTGTCATGGAGTAGTGTTGCCTCTGCTTCTTCCTCTGTGGCAGGAAACAGGAAGATAAATTACAAAACCCAATCTCAGCTGTCATCCCACAGATTGCATCCCCCAAAACTGGGCTTCAGAAATAATTGCTAGCATTGCTATGGTTACCAGGTGACATGGCAAGTTAAGCATGGCAGCTGCTCAGTTGGGGTAACCAATTGCCACACTATCCCCTTCCCCCACAGAACAGACTAGTCCCAGTTTGGCCTCTTACCCAGGTCCTGATGTAACACCCTTTATAGGAAACCACCAGCACCAGCCAGCTCCTGGTGGACCACACCTTGTGGCCACATCTCTTCGGGAGACTGTGGACCGAGAGAGGAGCCATTTTGTCTAAGGAACATAAGTGGCTGATCAGAGTTGCCCAGCAAGGCAGTCCTTTATAATTCTAAACACAGGCAAGAAAAATTCCTTCAGCACATTACATTCCTCCACTCATCCCAATGTAATGTGGGATGAGAACAGTTTCCTTTCACTTAATGGTATTTAAGGGATTAAGTGTCTGTGCATCATTTGCAAAATCCATACCAACAGGATTGGGTACTTTTGGAAAGTCACTCAAGATGATCCACCCAGTGGGATTGGAACTGAAGGCCATTAGCTTCCAATTCCAGGTCAGGAACAGTAGATCTAGTTCTGCACACTTATTTCCTCCAATAATATACATAAACTCTTAATCTAGTGAACAGTTCGTAGCCTCAGTCAAGTTAACTGAATGATGGCACACTAAAGAGAATAAGCCCAAGTTCCCAGCTCTGCTGGAATGAAAGCAAATGATTTTTGGTCTTAAGCCAAGAGTATATGCACAGCTACCTACAGAGTAGCAGTATAGGCAGTGCAGATCTCACCCTTCAGCAGGTAGACTCGGCTGAACCTCCTCACAGAGAACTTGAGCATCATGCTGCTCTTGCCACAGGACAGCAGGGGGCGGCTGTGGGATTGCTGCTGCTCTGGGTCACCCTGAGACTCTGGGAAGGCAAGAGGAAAGGGAAAGAGCTGTGGGGGTCTAGAAGCCTAGTTTAGAATGAAGCCTACGATTACAGTATCAAGATATCAAAAGGAACAAAGGTTTCTTTTCAGCATGGTATAAGCCTTTCAAGACACCTGAAGAAGGCTCCACACCTGAAATGTGGATTTTTCCCCAGTATGGGATAAAGCTTTACTTGCTCCTTTTCAGCCTACACATGCCAACAGCTATATGCTCCAGCTACCTAGATATCAAGGCTAGTCTACAACATGCCCTTAGAGATTACCCTTTATTTCTGTGAGCATTTTCATTACTGCTCTTTAAACTAGGATAAAAATGACTTCTATTGCCAAAGCAGTAGCTCAAGGTGTATAGATCCTCCCCTACTTATTATTATTATTAACCCACATTGCACAGAAGGCTACACCACAATACTAATTGGGTGCTTTTATTCAGCACTCCCCTACCCACTCCAGATGATCGGTCCTCAACTCTAAATGGGCCAGTTGTCATATCTCTCTGCAGATCAGTGTTGGAATCATCATCCATTTCATCTTCCTCAGCATCAGAATCTACTGCCATCAATCCCTGCTGGTTTTGTGCCACTGAACCCCCACTGACACCTTTGACCTCTGCAGCAGTACCCCCTTCAGTAAAATAACTATCATAGCCATCTCCTGGGGTCTCCCAGAACAGAGGACCACCAAAACCTGACTGAAAACCTTCATCCCCAACAGCATCTTCATCATTGAGCTGGGCTTCAGTCACCCCACTACATAGCCATCCTAATAAACCAGGTAAGAACAACCCTACTACACTCACACCTCTAACCATTCTCAGAGACTCCAAAACACACACACAAAACACAAAGAATACCTATAAGAGCTGCTGCCGGGATTTATATACCCGCCCAGCGTCGCGAGCTGTCTTGTGGCCCATCAGCGTCGCGTAAGGAGGACGGAACATTCTCACGCGCTAAGGGTTGGCACGCTAAACCGGGAAGAAAACGTCACGTGACAGGAGCTGACGGCGCACTTAAGCACCGGACAGCGCTGCACGATTCGCTTGTTCCTGAATCAGCGGACTAATCTAAACCAAAAAAAAAAGTCTAGCTTTGACAAAGATAGCAAATTACAATACAGAGTGTATTGAAGATGAGCCGTCAACCTCGTAAATACTATTGTTAATACCATTATTAAAGCTTGCCAAAAGTCCGTTTACCTTTTTACCGTCTCATCGAAGCGTTGGAGTTGCATAGTGCATTACTCAAAATGACTCTTTCGACGCAGGTACAGTATGATCTCACTATGCTCGAAGATCACGCTCGGGATATCGCCCGAGCTCTTTGCAAAGCCAGCAAACAACTTCGTATTATTTATTGATCGCCTGCACCCGACCAAAACCTAAGAAAGTTTGAGAATGCTTTCAAGCACAAAATTCATATCGGCAAAATTACAGCGAATTCCGGTTCTGTGTAGTCACGGCGATTTTCTTTCACTGGGCTATGAAGGCGCTGTAAGTGACTTTATTAGTTATAACGAAACTAAGCTCCTTCGTAACACTATGACATCTTCAATAAGAAATGTGTTACTGTTTAATGAAGGCAGTGGGCGAGAAGAGCTTGGAACGCTTTGTAAATCTGAATATAGTTTAAGACGAACACAGCAGCTGGGGAGCAGCGCTACACCATTTTAAAACGTGTCAAAATCACAGCAGTGTGCTCTCTAAACACCCCGAACCAGAGTCCTCTGTATGTAATATGTAATGACATTTTATTTTTTTTTAAAATCAAAGCCTTCGGCATCCACAGGCGCCACTTTGCCCGCCTACATTTCTGAGCAGCGAAAAATAAAGTTTGGCTCCAGCAGACGTAGAAGAGTCACCTATAACTTTGTTGAAACTGTAGAAAGGAATTGAAGAAATAAATGCACTAACAATGGTGGTGAGATTAGTAAATCAGAGCAGATGGGAATATTTTATTAAAAAAAAACATTTAAGAAATGAAATTGCCTAGATTTCTGGAGGCAAAAATCATCCATTTCATCTTCATACAAGCAGTAAACCCACTGCATGACTGATGCTCCAGTTCTGTGCCAAGGTTGACCCCAGGTATGTTTTAAGCACCTTGTGTCTGCAAAAAACCCTCTCTGCTCCTGCAGATGCAACTGGGAGTGACTGCAACCCAGAGGGCTATAGGTTGGGTTTACAATACCCGCCTTGAATGAAAAACAGATGAAACTGCAAGGAGAACAATGCATTTTAATACTGATTACATCCAATTGTTGAAAAGCCTTTTGTATTGGACAATTTCATGCTTTTGTTTGGCCGGGCAGCACTGATTTTCAGCCAAGTGACCCACACAACGTGTACAATTGTAGAAATTGTGAAACTGTTCATTTCTACTAAAACACGCCGCGTCTAGTTTGAAAATGTGGCCGTTCTACCATCCACTAGTCACATGGATCGGACATACTCACAACCAAATGTTAGAATAAATGTGAATTTAATTTCATTATTTGACTTGATTTGGCATACCTCTGTTTTGAGATTGCTTCTCCCTACTTTTTTCTGCTCTTCAAAAAACATTACATTCTCAATTCTGAATGGT